GGAATGGCATTCTTGACGCTCTACAAAGGCAGCGCTGCGATTACGTAACGGTGAGCACACGACTGGCTGTGGTGATGAGACTTTCGTGTGCAACCGATCGGGCAGAAAGTGTGAGTAAAATGAGCAAGACGATCAAAGCGAAAAGTGGATGCGCCCGTCAAGCACAAACACTACTCCTCTTACTCGTCCCCCTCCACCTCCCTTCGCTACAGTCGACCCGCGCCGCTGGTCTCGTGACTGCGCGCTTCTCGACAGACACAACAGCCCTGACAACCGAAACCGGTTGGACCCATCTTTTTAGAACTTAGCCAAACTTTTGATGAATTTGCCGTTTTGCAGGGGGACATGGCCGACGAAAGTCTCAAACTGGCCTCGATACGAGTTTTTGTGATACTCTTTTTTTAAGAGCTCTCTTTCATCACTAAGGGAGCGAAGACACAAAGGCGAAATCATGACTTGTCTCAAGATACCTGTCTCGCTTCTCCGTCCTAATTAATCAGCTTCCCTACTTTTATCCTTTTCTTGTCTGAGCCTAGTTGAAATTAGACTTTGAGAATATCTGTTCCAGCTTACGTAATTAATTATCCAAATAAATCCCATCTCATAAGGATGAATGAGTTTACCATTCCTTCCTTTCGTCTGTAACTATGGTTGGAAAGACACGCTATAATAAAGCCAACCTGTGTCGGTTTTCTGCAAGAATTGCTAATCAACCTAACAATTTCTCTATTTATTATAACAACAGGCTGTGGCAGATTTGCAGTCATTAATAACTACATTATAAACTTCCCGTTAGGCATGTGAACTATGAAATCCTCAGAGTGTTCCTAGTCTGAACAACGACTGTAACTACTCGTGGTCGCAGGGTGACTAGGACTGAATGTGGAATTTTCCCACAATCACATGAATAGACCTCAACATTCCGTTGAATTTATTGAGGCTGAACTGAAATGCGGTTTCGAATTTGCCTCACTGTTCTGGCAGCCCCCGCAACGAGATTCGAACCTCAGCAGAGCAATGAATAATCTCGACACCTTATTCAATATCTAGTGATATTTTTGAAATGTACGTATTCTGAATATAATTAGTGTAGTCTATTATAGCAGCAAATGCAAGGTTGCTTCATCAAAAATCTCGTAACTAAAAGTGAAGAGGAAGAGACCTTCAAATTCACGTCTGCCCCGTGATTCACCGGTGCCAGTAGCAGTATGGCGTAGTGTCAACATGCCGAAAGTTTGTGCTGCACAATACGGATTTCAATCTTGCCTTAGTTGCTGATGAGACTGAGACTAAATTGAAACTATAGCCCAGTCTGATTTCAAGAAGATGACCTTTTGGAAAGCAAGGCTTTCTGAAATTCGTGATTGTGGGAAAATGCAACTATAATAATAATAATAATAATATTGTAGATA